AAAAAAAAAAAAAAAAGGTAAAAAAGGAGTTGGGAAGCCGTAACATCAAAAGAAAGAAGGGAAAAAGGTACAGCAAAGAAAAGACAATGAACAAGACAAGTGGTGTTAAATAGAAAGCAGGGGCAGCTTCTCTCTTCTTTCTTTTCTTTTGATATTGCTGCTTCCTACCCATTTTTTATGTTTTTGCTCTTTATCACTTAAAAATAAGCATCCCACAATTGAACATGACAAGGGCATGTGAAATGAAGTCACAACTAAATTGATTTAATCACTACTTGTTTACTAAATGTATATTTAACACCACTTGTTCATTGGAGATACAAGTTTGGCATTTCAAATTTTGTTAAAGCTTTGCTAGAATTTCCTATTATATTTAGATTTTCTTTATTAAGGTCTCTAACACATGACAAAGGAGGATATTTTCTTTAGGTTATGTGGTATATAACCCCCTCCCCCCTCCTCTAATACATGGCAAATGAGGATATTTACTTTAGTTAGTTTATTTGGTATATAACCCCGCCGCTTCTCTCTCTCTATATTTATGATTAAGTTGGATTTTAATTACATGGTTAATTATTATTTTTAGTTTTCAAAATTTATTAATTTTTTCATATTCATGATGTTAAATATGATAAATTTGAATCAAATTATATTTAAAAAATATATTTATTACCAAGCCCGCATTTCTACATTTGCGGGCTTACTGCATGCTAACCGCATCCTTATTTAAATGAGTTCTCTCCAAAATCTAGAGATGGATTTTGAATTTTAAATTTTTATTTTTATTTTTTGGGTATATAACTTGGGGAAGGGTGAACTAAAGATATCATATTGACATCTTTTACCGTGACCACCAATACTTGAGTCCATTCCTAGGAATTAACATTTTAGGAAATGAAAATATGATAAGTAGAAATTTGGATAAAGAAAAAAAGGAACCCTAAAAATAGAAAGGAGATTTTTTTCTTTCTAATATTATTTTAATAATATGAATTTTATCATCTACTAACAAGATGGATGTTGAACGCGTCAAGGGACACCATCCATCATAGAAGTGTGTCCCCTCACGCATGAATTACTTATATGGGAAAATATCTTATTAGCCCACTAGTTGATGAAATAGTATAAGCCTAACGGCTCAGATTGAATATGGGCTGATCTAAATTGTATTTCATATTTGAATTTTTTTCTACAAATATAAATCACTTGCAATTTGTATCGTCCCCTCTTTTCATCAAGACACGTTAAATAAACAAATTTAAAAAATTATTCACAAGAACTAAATTGATCAAAATATCCCTCTAATTTTCAAAGGTATTTTGGTCTATCTTTTATAAATTATTTTTTTAATATGTTTATTAGATTCGTCAATTTTTCTAAAATACACACTCAAAATTTCAAGTGAATTTAATTTATAAAAATATTAAAATTCAAATACAAAATACAATCATTATCATTAGATCGATCAACCCTGATTCAATATATGCAATTGGATGGTGACTATAGTGGTCACCTAGAACACTGACCTCAAACTTTCAATATACATGTATATAACTTTTGTTTACATTTAAAGTAAAAACAATTATAGATATGTTGAAAATGAAATACAAAACCTAACCATAGCTTGATTGGTTGCCCCTGCAGCACAAATTAGTATAATAATAGATGTCTTTATGGCCATGTCCGTAGCTCGAGAACCCCTACAAATCAAAATTGCCGGTGAATCCATATGAACTACCGCAACCGAGTTGGATCAAGCCAAATACGCAATCACCTCCGGAATATATGAAAAATCTAGGAACTCGATTGATGGGCTAAGAGACTCGATAAAACTGACCATGCTTTCTTAGATGGGAAAGTTGGATCATTTTTAACGGTTCCCTAAACTAGCATTCAGTGTTTATAATGGTGTTTGAAAACCCAGATCGGCAAAACGGATCAATTTTCCGGTGACAGATCTGCCCGGCCAATCCAGGTTTTCCAACACTGTTTACAATATTAAAACGAATTGAAAATTTTAAGAAACGAAATGAGAGAACACTAGTTCCTCTCCAAATGAGTTGAGGAGAAGAGAGAAAGAATACCATATTTTTCATTAATATTTATTTAGGGCTTAGGCTTCACCTTAAAAGTAAAGTCGAACCTCAAAAAAACTTATTACCCCAAAACTTATTAAAAATATATAGTTACTAGGATTAGAAGAACCATCGAATCGATCGTTTCAACCCCAAAGACTCTTATGGATTTTTATACATTTTTTAAATTTTTTTTTTATATACCGATTGATCAACAAAACTATGCAAAACCGGAACCGGCCTATGGTAGGTTCCAATCTAACCAAGCAATTAGATCGCCCTATTTTGCAAACATTTGTTTTTAAGTATTACAACACTAACCCATCATCGGAAATAAATTATTGCCCATTGTCGGAAATAAATTATCGAGCCATGTAGGGGTTGTGGGTTCCCAAAGCCAAAATTACATTTTAACATAATGCACCGGCCTCACTCTAACTGCACGCTTTTCATAATCCACTGAGAGATTCTAAAGATTTGAATTATAAATACGTACGAAGTTACTAAATTGCTGATGTCTGTTCATGGCAGCATTCGTAAAGCAAAATCGAACCCCAACGGTTAACTGCACATGGGGCCCGAAACGGTTTAACCGACCTAATCGGTAAACTGGCCAATTCAAGTATTCTAACCGAGTAAATCCTGAACCTTCAAAAAAGTGTTGAAAAAATAAAAAAGATATAAAAATATATATACTAAAATATGAAAAGTATATAAAAAATGATTATAACAAAACACAATAAAATGTAGTTGAAAATTAATGAAAAAATAGATTTTAACCAATCGAATTGTGCCTAGCAGTATTTTTCAAATTTTCTGAAAAAGATGGGAAAATATAAAAAGTAGGACCAAAACAATTTTTAATCTTTACCATAATGTAAAGAAATACATTACAAAACAATTCCTTATTTTTTAAAATTTATATACATTTTCTTGAATTTTTTTTTAAATACCAATCGATTGCCAAAATTGCCAAAATGCCCAAAACCGGAACCAGTCAATCGATCTAACTAAACACTTAGATCGCGGCAACAGTGATAATATCATTATTCCCCCCTTAAACTAACTTAAGATGTATTGTGTTGATCCAAATCATGGAATGGACACATCATTCCCTACATGCGATCGACTTGAGCCAATCTCCTAGCAAAAGCACAGAAGGTCTTGTCCTCTTCAAAAGAACCCTTCCTTGTCAAATGGCACACCTCCTCGAGGTCAGACGGTCTGAAGGCGAGAGAGAGAGGCTCTTCATGCCCTCGAACCCGAAATCCTCTCGGAATGTACATGAAAAACCTGAGAGTGGGAATATGTTAAAAAAAAAAAAAAAAAGCAGTCAAAATCCCAGTCCTGCCGAAACAACCGCTAAGACTAACTGCAATGTACATGAAAAACAGAAACTAAAAAGGCTAGCAAAAAAAAAAAAAAGAAAAAAAAAAAGAAAGAGAGAAAACTGCCAAATAGTTATTCGACTCACTTGCTGCTCTAAAACAAGCCTGTCTCCAAAGTAATTCATGTTAAAGTAATATTGTACTTCACCATCCGGCTTCCCAAGTAATTGAACTCTTGATTTAGAGAGAGGATTCTCTGCTTTTCTACTCCCTAGAATTTCAGAAAGTGGCGGAAAGAGACAAGAAATCAAAGCTTTCCTTTTGCTTTTATTACCAATAAGATAAATATTAATAATAGGATAAAGATCCACAAAAAAAAAAAGGTTGAGATAGAGAGCTTAAGAGACAAGAAATTAAAGCTTTGTTTTTATTACCAATAAGATAAATATTAATAATAGGATAAAGATTCACAAAAAAAAAAAAAGGGTTGAGATAGAGATATAATATTAATCTCTCTTATAATAATGGAGAGAAATAAACACATAGGGATATGTTTATGGACTTCTTTGTTAGCATGAAGATTAGGACTCACCAGAAGACTGGTTGAGGGAGATGTCACATAAGATCGAGAGAGTGTTTTGTGTACAAGCACCCGAACCTGTGGCCTGCCCATACTCACTCACTCGTGAGTTTTTGTGATTATTATACGTGTATTAATATAATGTCACTTCATCACATCAAAAATAACTCTCGAATGTGATCCTACATTTGTTATACAATGAATACAAAAGAAAAAAAACATATTCCTATGTAAACAAAATTACACAAGTCACGTCTATTTAACATAAGTATGTGATTATAAATATTCAAAATGCAATAGGTTCATCATGCTCTATCAAATTATAACATGCAATACATCGATTTATGTAGACCTAGTTTTGACATAAGTACATCTATGCTAACCTGTAACTACGAAGGATAAAGTTCCAAGAATTAAGCAGACTAACCATTTTGGAAATAGACAGGTCCAAATAATTTGTTATAGAATACATTATTTTATGACTTAAAATCTTTTATTCATAGTTCTATATGTTGAGGTCGAGATGATCACTTGAAAAAATTTCAAACATTAAAAACAACTTTTTTGGGTGGGTTCTTGAGCTATGACTTATATTTATAATTTATAGGATATGAAGATTATGGGTGGGGTAGGGTTTTGTGTCAATTAGACCCCAACCCAGATCTGGAACCTACCTAGCTAGGCTTACATGGATCCAAACCAGGGTCTAAAAATTTAAAAACATTAAGTTATATACTATGTAATATATATGTTTTATTCTAGTCAAAATGATAATAAATAAAATCTAGTGAAAATATATATATATATTTTTTTTTTATTTTTTTATTTTTTTTCCTACCAAGTCGACTCAACCCGGTCCGACAAAACCCGATTGGGTCCATGCCAGATCTAGACCCAGACGCGACCTAGGCAGGTCCAAGCATCCAAATATGAGAAGATGAGTCCAAACCAATCTTGATTGGCGATCCGACGGTTCAATACGAGATCATTGGGTGGCCATCTGCCCCACTAATACGATGTTTCATATACCGGCTTTCACCATTCATGTTTATGAGTGAGAGAGAGAGAGAGAGAATAGGCATGAAGGTGGGCTCAAGAAGAGAGAGAGAGAGAGAGAGAAGGATTTCCAGTTATAGGCTTGGAGGTTTACCTACCTCACGGGTGAATCCTCCCTCATGAGCAGAGCTGAGCTGAGCTGAGCTGAGCTGCTAATGTAATTGTAACCACTCCCACTTTGCTACACTTGTTCTTACAAAGAGAGGGAGGAGAGTAGAGTTGGTACGGTCATCTTCCCATTCCAATCCCGCCCACCATTCTTTTTCTCCTTCAATTAGTCTTAGCATTTCTGCTTCTCGGAGACCCAAAGGGAGCCTTTTCAACTCGGGACAACCTCTCACAAATATTCTCACCAATGAAGGCCATGTGATCGCAATCTCACATATACTCCTCAATTTCACCAAATCATATAATTTCAATTCTTTTAATTTGGGGAGGGTGATGTTTTGGCCTACCTGCCCCCCACTAATTATCTCTTCTAATCCACTGCACCAACGTATCTTCATTTTTTCTAAGCATGGGAGACATTGTACCACATTTGCCAATAACACATTCTTCAATGCATCACATCCTTCAATAGTGAAATATCTGAGATTGAGAAGATGACGGTCTCCATCTCCCTTCCAAATTCTCCTCACAACTCTCAAATCCAAGAGCCTCAAACATTCCAATCTCTTCAAGCTGGGAACAACATCAAGGCCAACAAAATCCAATTGAGAACAATTTTTAATAAACAGCTCATCCAGCCTTTTCATGGGCGGTAGTTGCTCAAGACTAGTCAAGACTTGGCACCCTACTACCTCTAATGCTTCTATCTTATCAAATATCTTTCGATCCCATTGTTTTTTGTTAAAAAATGGGCCATTCCCATAGATGCTTATCCGTAATGAACTTAAGCTCTCCAACTCTTCAAATTCCTCCCAACATGCTTCTTCAGTGCTAATTTCTTCTCTCCCAATCGTTTTCCAATCGACGTATCCGCTGCTCATGGTGTTCAGCTCCTCCAGACATGATAGCCTTGATATAACCCCATGTTTTATGGATTTAAGATCACGAGTCTTTCGTAGGTTTAGAAGCTTTAAGTTGGCTAGTTCTCCCATCCCCTCTGGCAATCTTTTGATTTTGGTATTGCACAAATCCAGCACTTGGAGTTGCTGAAGTTGTCCTACATGAGGAATGTCGACTAGGTTCTCACAATCGTATAGAGAAAGGTAACGGAGATCCTTCAAGTTGGATAACGATTGTGGCAGAGAGTTTATGCCAGTTCCATAGAGATCAAGAACCTTTAGGGCTTCTAGACATTCAAAGAAACCCTCCGGAATGTTATTCAAATTTATATTTTCTCTGAGTATCAATGTCGTGAGAACCAGACACACTGGCCGATTTGGAAGTCTCTCTATTTCATTACGCATCAACGATATACGTTGGGCCTCTCCCCATTCTTCAACCCTAAGTGCTTCCTTCAGTCCCAATCCTGCTTCCACAATAAAACCCCCACCCTCTCTTGTGGAGCCGATACGTATGGCAACATCTCGGATCACATCATGAAGCTTCACGTATGAATCCCATCCTGGAACTTGCTCTATCATGCATGAGTCGATCAGCTTTTCAATTAGACCGTGGCCTTTGTTTCTAGCATCCTCCACACTATCCACTCTGCCTAGGAGCCCCTCACACATCCAACGCCCAGCCAAATTATTCTTTTCAATTTCGTAGTCCTCTGGAAATAGGGAGCAATACAAGAAACATTGCCTGATGTTTTCATCTTGTAATTGATCGTAACTATACTTCAATGGCACAAACACTTCACGTTCCATGCCCTTGATCTCCATTGTTGCTTCCCGTAAAGCTCTCAGTGCATTCTCCCACACATGCACATTATCCTTGTCTCTCATCGCACAACCGACTACGATGATGGCGAGTGGTAGGCCACCACATTCTTTGAGGACCTTACGAGCGATGGGTTCTATGGAAGGGAGACTTACCACATTTCTTGCTTTTTCACGAAACAAGATCCATGCTTCCTCCTCTATTAAAACATCCACTTTAATTTTGAGGTCAGTTTCCATCCGATTGCACACCATTAACGATCGAGTGGTTATTATAATCTTACATTTATTTTGTGGGTTTGGGCGAGGTACTCCTATAGCATTCAAATCCAGCTTTTCCCACAAGTCATCTAATATAAGCAAGAATCGTTGCTCCTTCAAAGCAAAAAACAATCTCTCTGCAATCATATATTCATCTTCAACATTCATGCCCAATTTTGTCATTATTTCTTTTTGAATTCTAGTTATATTTACATCTTTTGACACAGTGATCCATATCACTCTCTTAAATTCTCGATTTTGCGATAGACGATTGTTGATTTCAAGCATGACAGTTGTCTTTCCAACGCCTCCCATACCGTTAATGCCAATCACACCCAATTCATCGTTACTCAAACATTCGAGGATCGTATTTACATTTTTATCAAATGTTGACTGACCTGTGATTGAAGCTGTAGGCATCTCCCTCCCCACCGGCGGTGGTCGATCCATGCTCCAATTCACAGTATTTGTTAGATTGATGTGAGTAGTGATTTGGGATAGTTTCGTTGTTGCTCGTCTACCTGACTTGTAGTTGGAGGTGCAATTTGGGCAGAGTCCTCCGAAGCAACACTTGTTCTCGTTGTATCTTTCAACTACTTCATCTGCTTCACGTTCCAATTCTCGTGCCCTATTGAACCACTGTTGTGCTTCACTCGTGGCTGCCTTCCCACTTCTTTCTGCTGCTTCAATATTCGCCTCCAAATCAAGAATTCGGACCTTAAGTCGTTCATTCTTATTTCTCAGTTCCTCAACCTTCTCCTGGCATTTGAAGAGATATCCGAGCTGTCGAGTGATGGGTTCCAAAAATATATTCAAAATTTGGAGCACGACAGTAGCAATTTCCATGGTTGATGGTAGCAAAAGAGAGGCAAACACGATGAAATAGTTCAGTTAGCCACAAGCCTTGGGACACTAAACAAAAGCACCTTGTAAAAAGCCCAATTGGTCGAGAAAACCAAGTAGAAGGAAAGTGTCCTTTTGGCGAAGAAGATTAACAAAACCAAGGTGAACAAAGCAAAGCTCTACGTTTTGGTGGAGAAGAAGATCAAGAAAACCAAGGTGAACAAAAGGAAATCTCTCTGTTTCAGCCGAAAAGAATATCAAAAAAAGCAGGGTGAATAGAAGGAACACTCCTTGATTTAGTCAAGAAGATCAAGAAAACCAAGGGGAGTAAGAGTTTTTGGTTCAAGAACTTGCTCACAAAAAGATATCACAATGGTATTTAATGATGCAATAGATTAGTCTCTGCATATAAAGAGCGATAAAGATGAAGAATCAGAGGTAGTGGTTTGGAACCAGCATAGAAAAGAAGGGAGGAGGTGCAGCAAAGAAAAGAGGAGGAGGAAGAAGTAGTGGTGTTAAACCAATTTTTTTAAACATCATTCCACACGCCATTGTAATTGTCATTTGAGGGATGGGTGGTAGGGTGCATCGGTGAAAATATTATTCAATTTCCATTATTAATCATCCTATGCTCATTCAAAACATGGGTCGAATTTGTAAAAGACCTTCATTCTGACTTTTCCACCCATAAACTATGTTGGAATAGTGAAAATATAGGCGCCAATAGCACCATCCTTGTGTGTTTACTTTATTTGTTACGTACCGTTAGCTTGTTGAGCTCTAATCATGATCAGTCTTATACATTGGTGGGTGCTAATGAATATAATACAATAAAATATGGATAAATGAGCATGAAAGAGCTCAATTGAGAGGGCTTTATTTTGGAGCTCATTGGTGTCATGATAATATGGACTTAGATGCCAAATGCAGATGAAGTAGTAAAAAGCAAAAGGAAATTGTGTGGACCTCCACTGTTATAATGCAAAAGGTTTCGCATTTATGAAAGGAATTGTGTGGACCTCCAATTGCAATGCAGATGAAGCAGTTAAAAGCAAAAGGAAAATGTGTGGACCGCCACTGTTATAATGCAAAAGGTTTCGCATTTATGAAAGGAATTGTGTGGACCTCCAATTGCCTTTGGGTATGGTTTGTTTAGAGGCGAGGCTCTAAACAAATCAAAGTAAAGCCCAGGTGCACAAGGAGGCCAATTGCCATTGGGTGTGGTTTGTATAGAGCCGAGGCTCTAAACAATCAAAGTAAAGCCCACCTTCGAACAGTGTCTCAAAATATGGTTTCAATATTGGGAATCTTTGTGACAGCTTTAAAATATATTCATCTTTAAATATAAAATTTAAAGCTTACAAAATAGAGTAGATTGAGCAGATCTGTGAAAACTTGAAAATCTTGAAAATTGACGGTAAAAAAATGCATTATAAAATGTATTGTTTCCAACACTTGAAATCCATTTTTTTTCTCATGTCCATGCATCTTGATGTCGAGATGATCACTTTGATGATAATTGGGCATGAAAACAACCTCTTTTAGTGAAAATTTTGAGGCAGGCTCTAATTTGATTGTTTAGAGCCTTGGCTCTATATAAATTTTTTCCATAGCTTTTAATTAAAAAAAATAAAATCTAATCTGAAAGTATGGACTCGATTAGCTTGACCTTTAAACCCAAGGTTAAAATCAGTGTTTTTATGTGCAGCTTGTCCTGGCTCCTGAGTGCTTTTTACGGGCTTTCATTTAAAATGTACAAACTTTACAACCCACCTCAAATAATGCATTATTTGGTCGATTCATAAACGCTTGAAAAATATAAGTCTATAGCATAGACTCACTGTTGTTGTTAGATCAAGCCCTCACCAATTAGGCTCAGGCTCTTTTCTTGAGTGGAGTAGACTTTGTATATAAAAAATAAAATAAAATAAAATAAAATAATTATAAAAAGGGGTTAGGAAGCCGTAGCATCAAAAGAAATTATGGAGAAAGGAGCAGCAAAGAAAAGACATTGAACACGTGGTGTTAAAATAGAAAAAAGGGGCAACTTCTCTCTTCTTTCTTTTGATGTTGAGGCTTCCTACCCATTTTTTATGTTTTTTCTCTTTATCACTTAAAAATACCCGTCCCACAATTGACAATAACAAGGGCATGTGAAATGAAGTCACAACTAAATTGATTTAATCACTACTTGTTTACTAAATATATATTTAACACCACTTGTTCATTGGAGATACAAGTTTGGCATTTAAAGTTTTGTTCAAAGCTTTTCTAGAATTTCTTATTATATTTAGATTTTTTTTATTAAGGTCTCTAACACATGGCAAACGACGATATTTTTTTTAGTTTATGTGGTATATAACCCCCTACCCCCCTCTAATACATGGCAAATGAGGATATTTTTTTTAGTTTATATGGTATATACCCCCCCCCCCCCCCGCCCCCTCTTCTCTCTCTTTCTCTCTCTATATTTATGTTTATGACTTAAAGTTGGATTTTAATCACATGGTTAATTATTATTTTTCGTTTTCAAAATTTATTCATTTTTTCATATTCATGATGTTAAATATTATAAATTTGAATCAAATTATATTTAAAAACCATATTTATTACCAAGCCCGCATTTCTACATGTGCGGGCTTGCCGCATGCTAACCGCATCCTTATTTAAATGAGTTCTCTCCAAAATCTAGAGATCGATTTTGAATTTTAAAATTTTAATTTTATTTTTATTTTTTGGGTATATCACAAGGGGAAGGGTGAACTCAAGATATCATATTGACATCTTTTACCGTGACCACCAATACTTGAGTCCAATCCTAGGAATTAACGTTTTAGGAAATGAAAATATGATAAGTAGAAATTTGGATAAAGAAAAAAAAGAACCCTAAAAGTAAAAAGTGAAATTTTTATCTTTCTAATATTATTTTAACAATATCAATTTTATCATCCACTAACAAGATGGATGTTGAACGCGTCAAGGGACACCATCCATCATAGAAGTGTGTCCCCTCACGCACAAATTCCTTATATGGGAAAAGATCTTGTTAGCCCACTAGTTGATGAAATAGTATAAGCCCAATGGTTCAGATTGAATATGGGCCGATCGAAATTGTATTTCATATTTGAATTATTTTCTACAAATATAAATCACTAGAAATTTGTATCGTCCGCTCTTCTCATCAAGACACATCAAATAAAAAAATTTTAAAAATTATTCACTAGAACTAAATTGATCAAAATATCCCTATAATTTTCAGAGGTATTTTGGCCTATCTTTTATAAATTATTCTTTTAATATGTTTATTAGATTCACCAATTTTTCTAAAGTACACACTCAAAATTTCAAATGAATTTAATTTATAAAAATATTAAAATTCAAATACAAAATATAATCATGATCATTGGATCGGTCAACCCAGATTCAATATATGCCATTGGATGGTGACTATAGTGGTCACCTAGAACACTGACCTCAAACTTTCAATATACATGTATATAATACAAAAGGTTTCGCATTTATGAAAGGAAAAAGGTTATATATGGTTGCAACCTTATAATGTAGAGCTCCTGATGCACCTCAAAAAATCCAACGGAAAAGGTTTTTTTAATGTTGAAAAATCGTTTGATTGATCATCTTGACATAGAGACGTATGACTATGAAAAATAAAACGATTTTGAGTATCAGAAATAGTGCAAGATTTTGAGTATGAGAAATAGTGCATCTTACAACATATTATCTGTGCAGTTCGTTTTAAAGATTTTTGTATGTTTATAGATCTACTTGATTTTAACCATTTTTAAAATTTACAATTTAATAATTAGACATAAAAATAGATTTTGAGATAATCCTACATAAAATTATATATCATAATAAAATTTGAAGGTGACCTTACCTCTACAACTACGGATGCATCCATATGCCAACTGCACCCTTTATGAAATGGTACACAAGGAGGCCAATGGCTTTTGGGTGTGGTTTGTATAGAGCCGAGGCTCTAAACAATCAAAGTAAAGCCCACCTTCAAATAGTATCCCGAAATATGTTTTCAATATTAAAAATCGTTGTGATAGCTTTAAAATATATTTTCATCTTTAAATATAAAACTTAAAGCTTACAAAATAGTGTATATTGAGCAGATCTATGAAAACTTGAAAATCTTGAAAATTGACTGTCAAAAAATGCATTACAAATGTATTGTTTCCAACACTTGAAATCCATTTTTTTCTCATGTCCATGCATCTTGATGTCGAGATGATCACTTTGATGATATTTGGGCATGAAAAGAACCTCTTTTAGTGAAAATTTTGAAGCAGGCTCTAATTTGATTGTTTAGAGCCTTGACTCTATATAAAATTTTTCCATTGCCTTTTATACTAGAACTCACAATTTGTTCGTCCCTTAAATTTCAAAATAGGTCGTTGTAAGACTGTCATTGAATAAGCAGAAAGTTCCAAAAAAATAATTATCGAATTTCGTAACTCATCCCCAGCTATCGAATTTGATATTTATGAGTGAGAATAGTTGTGACCTCTTGTTATAAAGTTAAAGGAAAATTGTTTGGTATGGCCAAGCCCGCATCTGTTCCTATGTGAGTCGGTGTTCTACATCGGCAACCAAACAAAATTTCCTTAAGTAATAGTCATATATAAAAAAGGTCAAATCAACATTTCAAACGTTTTATCCAAAGAGTAAATTTTTGGTTTTTAAAAATTATTTATTTTACAGATTAATAATTTTCATGTTAAAGATAATATACTCACTAAAAATTAGGATCAAATTCTATTTCAAAAAAATTCTTAAGAGGCCGCCTGCATTTATACGTCTAAGTTTGTGGACTGCATGCTACTCGCTTCCAAAGATAAAATGGTCTCTTTGCAGACAATGATGGTATCATTATCATCGAAAATAAAAACAAGCATTCTTATTTAGGAAAATTTCATACATATCCATTATAGTTTTCATTATTACGGTTTTACCGAATTGTTTCCGTTATTACCACTGTGTCCGTTGTTTTCATGTCAAAACAATTTTTTTAAAAAAAGATGATTTTACCCTTTGGCAGTTGTTGAACAACCGAATTCAAAGTATTTTCGGTTATTCAACAACCGAAAATGCACCAATTTCAATTATTGAAGAACCGAAATTTTAAAATTTTTGGTTGTTGAAAAACCAAAAATTTAGGTTATTGAAGAACTGACAAATGTTTTCTCTCTCTTGTGGCATATTTTCTCTACCTCTCTGAAGTCATAGTTATCCGATAAAATGAAAGGAAATAACTAGTTTGAGCCCCTAAATTAAGGAGAAATTTTAGGGATTATGAGATTAGAAGATTAGGAGAAATTTTAGGGATTATGAGATTAAGATTAGGAGAAATCTTGTGGCGTATTCTCTCTCATGGATATCTGATATAATTAGGGGGAACAGCTAGTTTAAACCCCTAAATTTAGGAGAAATATCAAGGATTATGAACTTACCCAAAAAAAGACGATGAGGAGAGAGAGAATTAAAAAAAAAAAATCATTTTTACCCATGCAATGTAGAGAGAGGATACACATACCCACAAGAGAGAAAAAAATTCGGTTCTTGAAGAACCAAAAATTTTAAATTTTTGGTTATTCAAAAACTGGAATTGGCCCCGTTTTACGTTTTCGGTTGTTG